GAGAGAGAGAGAGAGAGAGAGAGAGAGAGAGAGAGAGAGAGAGAGAGAGAGTACCTGGGAGAGTGCTATGATAATAGCTGCACCGGAGGCGAATCCAGACACCACAGAGTGACTCAAGAATCGTACGAGTGTTCCAAGACGAAGTATGCCTGCCGACGCTTGAACGACTCCAACGAGTAACGCCAGCAGCACGGCCAACCGCGCGTACTCCATCTCATAATCCTCCCCCCCCCTTCCCGCACCATCACCCCCACCACCACCCCCACCCCCCCCATCTCCACTTCCTCCCTCGTTTCTCGCTGGCTCCGGTACCATGCCTTTGAGAGACTCGGCCACCAGCAGGGACACTAGCGCAACTGGACCAACTGCCAAGTGCTTGGAACTGCCGAATATCGCGTACGCAAAGATAGGCACGAAGGACGCATACAGACCGTAGATTGTGCGTAATCCTGCGATCCTTGCATATGCCATCCCTTCTGGAATTGCCATGAATCCCACAGACAAACCCGCAGTCACATCGCTCCATAAATCTCGTGACAAATTGTACTTCCTTAGCCATTTCACACATGGGAATGTCTTGTTCACGAATATCTGCGCAGATTCCGACGCAGATTTGCCTCGGTAATCTCCAAACACATCAAATGGTAATTCCGCATACGTTCGACTGCACACATTATTGTAATAAGAAGAAGAAGATTCTGCATCACCTCTGACGTTCAAGCATCCGAGCCTGCTGTCCGCACTTAAACGATCTTTATCTTTATCTTTATCTTTATCTTCGCCTGGACATCCCGCCGTCCAATCCAAATTCCAATAATTCTTCGACACTTTAAGATGAGTAAGATGATTTTTTAAAAGTGGAGAGTCCAGCCCGTCTTCTTGGTACACCAGGTGATGTTCATCAGCCATCTTCTCGGCGGCAAGTCTTGCAGCACCTAGCCCTCTTCTTCCCTCTTATACCTGCTTCTTATGTCCTAGTACCTGCTCTTCCTCTCTTCCCTAACTATCTCTATCTCTCTCTATCTAATCTATCTAATCTATCTAATCTATCTAATCTATCTAATCATCAATTGACAGTCTGTATGTCTATGAATCTATCAATCTATATGTTCGTGAACGCTGCACTTGCAAGTTGACCTTCGTCTTCGTCTATCTCTATCTATCTATGAACCAATCAATCTGATCTATATCTAATTTATCTAATCTATCTAATCTGTCTATCATCTCTGGACACTCTATCTTTCAGCCTATGTATCTATCGCTTCATCTGTATGTCTATGCTGCACAGCTGAATGCACCTTCACCTTCCTGTCTTCCTTCGGTAGACTATCTATCTACCTGTCTATCTATCTATCTGTCTATCTATCTATCTATCTATCTATCTATCTATGCATCTATCTAATCCACATATCTTTGTCTCTCTCTATCTAATCTATCGACCATGTCTTGACACAGTCTGTCCGTCTGTCTATGTATTTATCATTCTATATGTATGTCTGTGCTGTACTGCCGCAATTAGTTCCTCTTCCGCCCATCCTTCGCTAGATTATCTGTCTCCCTGTTTTATTTCTCCATAATTATATAAAATCTACCATCAATCTGTCATGCGACGCATCAACTCTACTTTATTTTGTCTGCGTCTTCCTCCAGCGCGATTCCTCTCTCTCTCTCTCTCTCTCTCTCTCTCTCTCTCTCTCTCTCTCTCTCTCTCTCTGTGTGTGTGTGTGTGTGTGTGTGTGTGTATCTATTTGTTTGTACTTTTGTATATTAAATTATACACATGTATATACCTCTACCTCTATACGAATACTATATATGTACATACATATAATAATATCAATACTCTCTCTCTCTCTCTCTCTCTCTCTCTCTCTCTCTCTCTCTCTCTCTCTCTCTCTCTCTCTCTCTGTGTGGGTGTATGCGCCCGCGAAAGAGTCAGGGAGATCAAACGGGCCAGATCGCCATAGTTAACGCTCGTGCAAAAGTCTGTGAGGCGATCGATCTGCTTGCAACACACGAGTGAGAGGAGGTCAGGTGCGCTCGGACGAAGTTTCGATCTCCTGACCGATAATCGAAGCGAACAAGGTTGAACACCGTGAAGATGTTTTTGAAGTGACACTCCTTTGTTCGGAAGAGCGGACCCTGGTCAGTAAGCGAACCCATAACATCCACGCGCCGGTTCGCGCAAACGTCATATTTACGTCTCCGCTCATCACGATCGGCGTGACCGTGCTTCTTCGTTCCTTCACCACCTCATGTGACAACAGATGTTCCTATTCGTTTCTCAGACTACACGCAACCGAGTCGGCCCTTTCGTGCGTTTGTAAATTTCAGAGTGAGGACTTGGACGATTCGCTGAAGGTCGTCCAGCGGTGTGGTCCCACTGGAAACACGAAGATGGGTCAGAAAAAAAAAAAGAAAAACGAGGACGGGAAAGTGGGCATGCCGTTAAGGGCCAGATCCCACTAGCCCCTATTCTTTATTTCTGACCGTTGATCTTCGTAATCGAGGGTGAAAACGAATAATCCAGGGTAGTGGTATCTGACCCTAAGGTGGCCGCTGTGCTTTCCTTTCGGCTTGTGTGGCTTCCTTGTCCGTGGAGGCCACCTTTAAGGCTCATATTATATATTATAAATTTGAAGACACCGCAGACACACGCCTCTTCCCATTAGGGCTGGAAGAGCCTGCGCCACTGCTCCCATAGAGACAGCTTCAACTTTTCTAATTTGCTCAGACTGGGGACTTCAGGTAGTTTTGGTTTCCGTGTCTGAAGCTGGCTGATGCTGGCAGGAAAGATCGGGGTTGAATTGTGAGATCCCCAGCATCTATTGATTATTATTGAAATAAATGTGAAAAAAAAAGGTTTACAATTTGCCTTCCCCCCCCACCACCACCAAAAAAAAAACGAAGTATGGAACCCAGCAGCCTCCCAGGCCCTTCCTTCTTCCCCCGAGCATAACGCATATGCTTTGTATTCGAATTTTCTGGGGACTATTTGAATAGAACGCATGTGTAATGTATTTGAATACAACGCACCTAATGTGCCGTGTTCCTTTAAAACACATATGCGTTATGTTCGGGGGAAGAAGGTAGCTCAGCTGGTACCGCAAGTGGCACTCAGGAGGTCTTGGGCTCAATCCCAATTGGCCTCATGTACCTTCCTGGGCAAGCTTGGAGCATTGAGCGAAAATCAAATCTGCGGTTCGCCTACCTGCTGTAGCAGGCATCGCAATTGCTGGTGGGTGCAGAATGGGTTCAATCCCTATTGGTCTCATGTACCTTCCTGGGCAAGCTTGGCGCCCGCCACCTACTTGGCATTGAGCAGAGACTGCTGATGTTCGCCCGCCTGCTGCAGCAGGTATTGCAGTTGCTGGTGGGTGCAGCTCCCGCATGCTCCCTCGTTGGAGCCTTGAGCACGGATGTGGCTGTGATGGGGTTCTCCATATTATAATGACAATAAAAAAGGCCTGAAAGGCTGTCCTGTCCAGTTTCGACAGGTAATTTGGGGATACTCACACAGCATGTAGCAGATCTTGGCGGGAAGCTCCTTTTGCACAGGCATCACCAAGATGTTTCTCAGCTATTTTTTCCGGAGTCGCAGAGCGATACAGCCACTACTCTCCGGAAGTACCAGGGCGGTTTCACTGGATATCCATCCAGGCAAAATGGGCCTCGCATCATTGGATATCCATCCAGGCAAAATGGGCCTCGCATCATTGGATATCCATCCAGGCAAAAAGGGCCTCACATGCTACCCGTTTTGCCTGGATGGGCATCCAGCGAAACGGCCCTCCGGTATTTCCCAAAAGTTGCAGCTGTATGTATACAAGCTGAATATTTGATTTATTTAATTGTTTTATTATTACCCAGTTGATGCTAGGGGTGCTGGTAGGAGCACTCACCACTAGCACTCCCGGGGAGGCTCCATCTATATTGGTGGGAAGCAGCACCTGCTGGAAAGCGGGTCCAGCATCCCTGAACAGTGGCTGTAACGAATATTTGATTTCTTAGCAGGGAAATGTATTGGTGGTTTAAGGAGCCCTTCTTTTTCCGGGCATACTCGCACTAGGACTTTTTCCTCAATGTTGTGGACGTAGGACTTCTTCCTCAATGTTGTGGACGTAATTGCGGTTAGGTTCACGCAGGTATGGACGGTCAGATGCATTTTGGAAAGTGCTGGTGTGACTATGCCCTCAGTACTCGCCCAGCTATTGAAGACCAGTTCAAAAATGCTCTGTGCGCCAAAAAGAAAGAACTGGGGCTCCCCTCATTTTGGCTGGCGCTCCCCTTATTTTGGCTGGCGCCGCCAGCTTTTGGGGGGGGTGGGACACGGGGCGCGGCGCTACTGGGAGCGCTGCGCCCGGCCCGACCTGGTGCACCGGACCGGATTGTCGCGATTTCACATGGTGACGGCGCGCTGGGTTTCGGTCTGAATGTCTCTATGATCTAAGGTTTTGTTAGTTGTTTATGGTTGCTAAGGGTGGTCTTACAAATGTTTTAGGATTCTGGGGATTTCAATCACCTCATCTTAGGAGACTTCGTTGCTGTTATACTCAGTGATCCGCGGTTGTCCGATGCCAGAACGATGCTGGTCGGTGCTGGGGTGTTGCCCTGTAACCTGCTGATATAGGAGTATGAGGCCTGGTAGAGAGATCTGGGAATGCTTTGGGGTGGGCATTCCAAGGGACAACTAAGGTTGGTTGTTGGGTCGACGCTGGTCGGAGCTGGGGCAAGTCGTGTTGCCTTGTAACCCACCAGGGTGGGGGTGCGAGGCCTGAAAGAGCTCGACAGAGAGTAAGATAGTGTTGGAGAGCCTTAGAAAGGTTTGCTAGGAATTCCGGGCTCTGAACTTTTGTAGGACCTTGTCCGCATAAGTAGATAGTTGGATATCAAGCGTCCTACTAGTGAGGGGGCTAGCTCGTAGGATGGAAATAGGGTACAGCAGCAGCGGAGATGGTGGCTCTGCTACAGTAAATCTTGCCGGAGTGAGGTAAAGGGGATTGTGGGGGGGTTCTAAGTCGTTTTCTGAACTTTGCTTATTTATGAAGCTTGTCGTAGTAACTTTCTAAGTAGCTCCAATTTTTCTTAGCCATAGCCGGGTAATGGCTCCGGTATCTCAAACTTTCAAACTTCTATGTAAATCTCCATATGGGACGTTGGGCCCGGTTCTCAGCACGTGCTGCTCTTTAAAAAAAAAAAAAAAAAAAAAAAGGTTGGCGCCGCCAATCGTATAAGTACCTTGTTTTTCCTTTGAGCAATTGAAAGAGAATATAGCTTAGTTTCAATATAATAAAAAGAAAAGGTCCAGTACTGCAAACCCCAAAAGTTGCCGCCGTATACAAGCTCCATATTTGGCAGGGGAAGGTATTGGTGGTTTAATAGTGACTAATACTTCAAGAAAAAGGCGCCCTGCGATCATACTCAACCCCTCAGCCGATGTCCATTTGAACACCAAGTAGGGGAGGACCCTTAATTAGGCAGGGGTAAGAGACCATGCGTGATCAAATATCCTCCCGCTCGGTGGGTCCAATCATCTTCGTTGGGAGGTGCATGTGCTGGGAACCAGGCTCAACAATCCATGCACCAAATCACAGTCGAGCCATTTCCCTTTCTCAGAAGCTGCATGGATGGGATTGAAAACCTCCTGTTTTCTCGACGTTTGTTCCTCGCCGACTACTCTTCCACTCTAACTCCCCTTAAACCTGCCACACCACCATTCTCTATTATACTATCCTGCTGCTGGTGGGATCGCACCCCAGGTCTTGAGACATGCCCTCCTATCTGTCAGCTGGGAAAAGGGAAATAGTCTGGTTTCCTGCTTTTTGCAAAGAAAGAATCCAGGATCATTGCTTTAAACCACCATTACCTTTCTCAACTATCGGTGCCGAGCCTAAAATCGACCTGCTCGCCAAAAAACAACGAACCGGCGCGGATTCGATTTTGGCTGACACCACCAACCATTTTGCACCAGTACTACCGTAGTTGCCCGCCCCCCGTGTAAACCAGCGGGCATTTATTTTTCAAGCGGGGAAAGGTACTGGTGGTTTCAACGGGAGGGTATATATTAGTTTAGATCCTCCTTGATCCACTTGGGTTACGCATGGTGTTATAAGAATCAAGGACCTATGGGACTCAAGTAAGAAAAAGTGGAAATCATAGGAGCAACTCACAAAAGAAATCTAGCACGCCCATAATTTATTGCATAATCTGGACCAGTTCTCTTCCATTCCCTTGGTTTGGGTGGTGGTGGCTGATTGGGTGTGTGGTTGCAGGCCTGATGGTACTCAAGTTGTGGGACAGGTTTTGGAGGTTAGATCAGAAGGAGCTCTGGTGGTTTTCCAGCTTCGTGGGAATTGTTCACTGTCGCAAGAGGATCAGGATTTGGTCATCTTTTTCGCTTTTAAAGAATTCTATAGGATCAAAGCACTTTATTGCACTACCACTGACAGATGGAACGTTTACTGTCCACAGATCCCCATTCCTGGACTTCTGTTAGACCCTGTGGAGTGCTCCTGGAGGTTTAACAGACGGTGTAACCCCATAAGTTACAAATGTTGACTGTCAAGGCTTCATACCGTCTATTACGGCCTAGGATTGATGTGTTGGCTATCCTGCTGGATTGTTGGGCCCACCATCTTAGTGTATATTTCGATGTGCTTAAGCTGGTGAGGTGGTGTCAAGGGTTTTAGGAAAGGCCGACAAAATTTGCATCATTACAATGGCAGATTTCACATCGTTGCCTCCCAACAAATGATTGGTTAATTGATCATTCATCCCTAGAGCAAAAAGGTTTGGCCCTACCTTAGTGTCAAACCTGTGTGGAAACCTTTCCAAGCAGAAAAATAAGAGAGACTATTGAGCATATTTTTTTGTAGTGTCCTGAGTCACAGTTGTTGTAGAGAAGATGAGACTATGTTTGGGATAGATTGACTGCCCTGGATTGGCTCCTGGTATTGGCGGACACTTCTGTTGGGACATTAGGACCTGTGTGGAAACCTTTCCAAGCAGAAAAATAAGGCATCTTTGCTTAGCCCTGGTACCTACAACCGCTGTCTGGTCAGGTCACCCCGCCAAGATGGCAATGGGTGATGGTCCTGGGTGGTTAACACTTGGGTAGGACAGGTGGGGTGGGGGTGTGCCAGGGCAAAAGATAGGAGGAAGGGTGGGTGGGGTTTTC